TTCCCAAAGCACTTTTGACGAAAACCCAACCATAAGCCCCATTAACCCTACAGAGCCCTAAACCCTAAACCCTTCATTATAGTACCCCTAGAGGAGCCCTTGAAAGGAACCCTAAACCCTAAACCCCAAACCCTTCATTATAGTACCCTTAGAGGAGCCCTTAAAAGGAACACCATCCCCAAACCTAAACCCTTCATTATAGTACCCTTAGAGGCTTAGAGGAGCCCTTAAAAGGAACCCTAAACCCCAAACCCTTCATTGTAGTACCCTTAGAGGAGCGCTTAAAAGGAACACCATCCCTAAAACACAGAACCCTAAACCCCAAACCCTAAACCCTTCATAATAGTACCCAAAACAAGCCCTTAAAGGAACACCATCCCTAAAATTGCCTCGGCCTCCCCTTGGGCGGACTCGGCGGCCTGTTCCGGCGCCTGGCCAGGCTGCGATGGAGCCGAAAAAAGAGCACACGACCGGTATAATGGGATTCGGTTTGGGGCTTAGGGTTTAGGGGTTTAGGAGTTTAGGGGTTTAGGGGTTTAGAGTTTAGGGGTTTAGGGGTTTAGGGCTTAGGGTTTAGGGGTTTAGGGCTTAGGGCTTAGGGTTATAATGGGGATCAAGGTTCCTGGAAGCCAGGTTACTGTACTTCAACGATATGTTTTTGACCCCACTACAAGGTCCAAGTATCTAGTACTCTTAGACACTCCTCCAAATACGAGCCAACCTTACTACTATCCGAGGAGACAACATCAACCGTAGAGGTGCTTGGGACCCTCAAACCACCCATGAGCTCCTACCGGAGCACGAAGGTGTGGGTAACTCGGCTTGTCAACAACAAAATGATGGCAAGTAAAGGGGGTTCTTAAGATAATCCGGCCCTCTAAGCTCTACTGCTAAAGCTCCAAAACCTCATCAAACTCCTACAGAATCCACAGCCACGTGATTGCTTCCTGCAGGACCTGCAAGAGTCCTACTAGCAAGGCACTATAAAGCCCCGCCACAGTCTGAGCAAACAGTAGCGATACCCCTTATAAATCTTGGAGTATCGTGTACACCGGTATCTCCCACGGATCCCAGCTCAATGCTTGAGACGACCATATCAGGCCCTAAACCTCTAAACTTCCGAAAAAAATCCTTGACCCTAAACTTCCCTTAAACCCTAAACCTCCAAAACACATCCCTAAACCCTGAATCCCGAAACTTTTTGCCTAAACATTCCTAGACCCTAGACTGCCAAAAAATATCCCTAGGCCCCGACACCCTAGCCATTTGCCTGAACGTCCCTAAACCCTCAACTTCCAAGAAATATCCCTAAACCCCGAATCCCGAAACCCTTTGCCTCAACATCCCTAAACCCTAAACTTCCAAGAATTCTCCCTAAACACCAAAAAAAACCGAAACCCCCCCTTTTCTTTTTTGGCGCCTCCTCAGGGAGCGTGGCAGGCTCACTGAGGTCTTGGGAGCCGGCAGAGGGGCCTCGGAGATCCGCCCCCAAAAAGGGGTCCTAAGTAATCAAGGTATAGGGGACAACGGTTCCTGAAAAAAGGGTTTCGAAAAGGGTTCCCAAAAAGGGATCTATAAGGGTTCCTTAAAAGGGTTCCTAAGTGGGTTTAGGGTATAGGGTTTTGGGGCTTATAGGGTTTATAGGGTTTAGGGCTTATAGGGTCTAGGGCTTGTAGGGTTTAGGGCTTGTAGGGTTTAGGGTTTATAGGGTTTGTAGGGTTTAGGGCTTATTGGGTTTATAGGGTTTGTAGGGTTTAGGGTTTATAGGGTTTATAGGGTTTATAGGGTTTATAGGGTTTAGGGGGTTTATAGGGTTTAGGGTTTTGGGTTTAGGGTCCTAAGTTACTAAGGTAGGGGATAAGGGTTCCTTAAATAAGGTTTACTATAGGGTTTCTATGAGGGTTCCTTAAATAGGGTTCCTTAATAGGGTTTCTATAAGGGTTCCTTAAAGGGATTTATAAGGGTCTTCATAGGGTTTCTATCAGGGTGCTGTAAGAAAGTACGCGTAATATAGGGGCCTTAATCATTATAAGAATAGAGTTTGGGGGGAATCTGATCCTATAAACTATAATAAGGAACCCCTAAAAGCCCGATTCTAATGAGTAATTGTAAAGCCCCTCTATTATATGGGGGAAGACTTGCCCAAACCATAGGTAGCAACTCCTGTTTTTAGGAAACCCTACATTCTAAACTGCCCTAAACCCTAAACACCCTAAACCTATGGTAACCTATGGGTACTTGGGACCCTTATTAGGATCCTCGGGAGCTTCGAAACCATGAAAGGCCCAGAGACCTTGAAAGATCCCTTAATTTAGGAAGAACAAGGCCTGAAAGGGCTCCTGAAAGGGATCTATACGGATTTCTATAAGGGTACTATAAGAGTGGAGGACTATACGTTTGAAGTATAGTAGGATCCCTAGTATGATCGAAGGTGCATTCCTTACGTAAGGGAGCTCGGAAGGCTTGGGGGGTTAGGTTTGCTTTGGGTTTGTAGGCTTAGGGTCTTGGGCTTCGGGGCGTTATCGGCTTTTTGGTGTAGGGTTCAGGGTCTTGGGGTCTTTAGGGGCCTTACAGGGTTCTTGTGCAGGGTTTGTAGACTTCGGGTTTTGGACGATTTTGGGCTTCTTTCTCTGGGCTTTGCTGTCAGAGGGGAGGGGTTTAGAGTTTACAGAGGGTGCGTGGATCATACCTGTGGTCTCCGTTGTGTGATTCCTTTTTGGGGGGTTTAACCAATTTTATATTAAGGATCCTAAAAGGTAACCCCAAAAAGGAACTACAATGGAGACTATAGGTAACAGGGATCCCGCCGGATCCGGCTGCGTCTCTATGGCAGGCTACCTTGAAAAGTTCAGGATATCTGAGGGTTGGGGTTCTTCGAATGTAAGTTCGCATGATTTGGGTTTAGGGTTTAGGGTCTTGGGAGCCTAATGCTTCGAACAGGGTCAGACAATGGATACAAATTGCTTGTTTCTCGAGAGATGTCACAATTCTTGTTATATACTCAGGCCTCTACATCAGGGTCTTTATAGCGTAGTACTCATGGTGTTGCATTAAAAACCTACCGATAGGCCCCCAAGTAGTTCCTTTTTATGGCTTGTATTTAGAATCCTGTAAGGTAATCCCAAAAAGGAACTACTTAGGGGCCTATGGGTATGCTTACTCAGGACGTCCTCACAGAAAGATCCGGGAGCGCCGCCCGGCACTTGCTCGAGAGGCTGCGGCGCTTCTTTTGGCTCCGCTCTCGCTTTGGCCTTTCGGCAGTTTTAGGGATACCAGGACTCCCCAAGTTCCCCCTTTAATGTTCCTTTAAAGGGCTCTTGAAAAGGGTCTATCAGGGTTCCTTAAGGGTTCTATAAGGGTTTAGGGTTTGGGGTTAAAGGAAACTGCAGGTGGGTAGTTTAGGGTATATGGGGCTTCTATAAGGTAGATAGACCTTGTATAAGGCTCCTATAACAGTAACTACCCACCTGAGCATGTCCTACATTAATGGAGCCCTTAGGGTCATAAATGATGGGTATTTGGGGACAAGGGGGGTCTGGGTAGGGTTTTAAGAGCTTTGGGACTTCAGGGTGTTGGGGTTGGCCCCAAACCCCACACTCCAAGCTGCCCGCACGCGTGTTTTGCGTAGGGCTACGAAGGGGATGACCCTTCAGAAAGTTTAGGATTCGGCATGGCTTCTTATCGGATTGAGGACAAACCGAGTCACTAGCAAAGCCACCAAAGCACCTATCGTGCTCATACAAAAAGGAAACCTTTGTTTCTTAGGGGCCGAGTACCTTAGCCCAAAAAAGGTTAACCTTTTGAATCATAGTAGGTTTATAATATAAGCCCCAAAAGGTTGAAGGTTACCTACTCAGCCCCTACGGTTTTGATACCTAATACCGGCAGATCTGTTCAGGCTCAAGTGCCCAGAACCCCAATCCTATAACTCAAAGACCTAGGCCCAATCACAAAAGCTGCAGTGGTGTGAGTTTCCGTTCCTTATTCTTCTGGTTACCTGGTTGCTAGTAGTAGTCGTCGTCGTCGTCGTCGTAGTAGTAGTAGTAGTAGCGACGAAAGATCTCAACATGTCGTTGCTGCAGCAATCCTATAGGACACAGCAGATCGAAGGCATTGGCGAAGCGAGAATGCCGTCTTGGAGAATTAACAACACTATGAAACCCTAAGATGGGGGCGTTAACAATCAATTAGAATAGGGTTTCGGGGGGTATAGTGCACCATATTATAGTTTTAGTTATATTCAGGAACCCAAAATAGTATTGGTAATTATCTTTTTGCGGACGCCTACGAAACCCTATAAAAAAAAAAAACGGCACAGACCGCAATAAAGCGCATCAGCCCCTTACTGTAACCCCGTCCAGGAACTGTTGACAGGAAGCCTCGAAGAACCCTTCGGAACGCCAATGCGTCCCCAAGTCACCGGTTTAGGGCAGGTTTAGGGTTTAGGGGCTTTGGGTTTAGGGGTTTAGGGGTTTAGGGTTTAGGGCAAAAACGAAACATCCTCTAAGTCTAGCAGTCTGAACTGGAGCGCATGAAACCTAACATGCTACAGCCTTCCCATAGGCCCCCAAGTAGTTTAGTTCCTTTTTGGGATTGCCTTATAGGATTCTAAATATAAACCACAAAAAGGAACCACTTAGGGGCCTATGGGTAGAGCCATATGACAGCCGTAACCAAGCAACGCACCGCTATTAACCGCTATTATAACCCTCGGGTGCCTTTCTGGCCGATTTCACGCCGAAGGCCTTCAAATCGGTCTTGCCATCATAGAAGGCTGCCTGAAAGGATTCTTACACCCACGCCCATGACATTCACGCACAGGCACACAGACAGGCAGGCAGACAAGCAGACAGGCAGACAGAGAGGCAGGCAGGCAGGCAGACAGACAGACGGACAGACAGACAGACAGACAGACAGACAGACAAACAGACACACACACACACACTCGCACCGACCGGCAGGATTTTGCATCAGCTACGTTCCATGAGCCTGCAAAGCTTTTAATAGCAGCCTTTCCGTTGCATCGCCAGCTGGTGGGGCAGTTCCTCCAACAGCACGTAGCCCTGGCTACAGTTCACGCCCAAAAAAAGAAAGCGTCCATCAATAGCTATATCCAGGATCGGTACATCTGCAGCTGTTGCCAGCATGCCCATGAAAGCATCCTCGACCCAATGCAAAAGCAAGCGGGAGCCGACCAAAGTCTGAAGTACAGCTGCCATGTTCTCGTAGGCCTTCCTGCTTGCCAGCCATGAAGCCTGTGGATACGGAAGGAGAAGTCCATCAACCAGAAGTGGCCAGTCTTTCAGCGATGTCGTCCCGCAGGAAAGCTCTTCAAAGACATGCGGAAGCATGCAACCTCGCTGGCCCCAGACAAAGCCATTGGGATGCAACTTTTCAAGTTGCAGGTCTTTGCGAAGCAACTCCATTAAACGCCCAACTTGCAAACGCTCGTTGCCATTGAGCCGTAGAAAATATTCTGATTGAATCTGCACGGCTAAATGAAGCAAATGACACACTTTCAGTGTCAGATTGGTATAGGCATCAACTACATCGATTGCAATGATGTCGCCAAAGCTGTCTGCCTCATGCACGAGATGCTCTTGCTCCGCACCACTGAGCCCCGACCAACCCATCACAAAGCCATAACGCCAAGGGCTTCTGTCGCTATCACCTCCTGAAGCCCAGCCCGTTCGCACCGAGCTTCGCAAAACCACATCCTGTGGCCGACATAACACTGCCACGAAAAGGGTTGGCTTGTCTGCAGCTTTTGCAAGCTCTGAGACCCATCTGGGCGCAAGTGCAAGCCTAGCTCTGGCAGGGGGACGAGCGAGGCGCCTTGACCGACAAGCCTCACTGTGGCCTTTCATCGTAGGAACACCGCGGATCACCCGAGGAAGAAGGCCGCAACGAAACCGCGGATCACCTTCGTTGCCAAGCCTCGGCCATGGACGGGTCCCACGTCGGAGTCTGTAGTCTGCTAGTAGGCGTGCGCAGGACTGCGACTCTAAACCAGGCGTCTCGGCACACGTCGGACAGCTGGCATGACACCGGTGATCCCCCTGAATTCCTGGCACAGCAAGAAGGCTTCTTCGAACATCCTGCTTCGACAGTGGAGCAGGACTGGGGAAAAGCCAAGAAAAGTGCTGCTGCACCAGTGATGTAATAGCATCTGGCAGGGCTGAATGCTGGCAGGCTGAAGGTAAGCAAATGGCCACGGCTCCAGCTGCAGTCTCACTCATGTGCTCTATGACCATCATTTCGTGAGTTGAGCGCTCGTCGCATTTCCGACCCAGCTGCGTCCAGTCATCCGTTGTAAAATCAGTGGCCCAGTTTACCGCACGACTCAGCTCCCATAGACTTGCTGTTGTTTCCCGCTCCAGGAGGTTGTTGCAAGCTTTTGTGTGGTCGAAGTGGTAGAGTGCTGACACTGCAACTCCAGCAGCCATGGCCATTACCCGGTACATTTTGGAGGGCTAGTGAGCCTGTGCAAAGAGTCAGAGTATAGGCACACATGCTGGCAAGTGGGGCACAAGCATGCACAAGCCAACACGGAGAAAGATAATGCCGGGGAACGTTGCTCACATGACACAACAATCAGTTGGGGGAGGCTAGGAAGGAATGTGTAGGCAGAAGCAACAGCTTCTAGCGACACAAACATGTGACCATGATCCTAGCCATACCTGTATGGTCGAAAGTATAGAGGGTTTCTATCGTAGGCCTTACTAATAATTTTAGGGCTTTAGGGTTTAGGGTGTACCCCCCATATTCCGAAGTACTTAGGACCCTGTCCGCATGACTACTGGGAAGATGGTTCGCCAGCTTTGGGCTTCAGGTTTCCGGTTGTAGCGCTTTCCCTGCTTCCTTCCTATACATCCCAAAAAGGCTCTACCTATAGTCTCCATTGTAGTTCCTGTTTTGGGTTTAATTAACCAATTTTATATTAAGGATCCTGAGAGGTAACCCCAAAAAGGAACTACAATGGAGACTATAGGTACTTTTGGCTTCGGTATGGGGTGTGTTTGAGGCTGGGGTGGCGTGGCGGCGGGCGCGCGCGTGGGTGTGTGGGTGCCTGGGTGGGTGTGTGGGTGGGTGGGCGGGCGGGCGGGCGGGCGTGCGGGCGGGCGTGCGCGCTTTTGCGGGCGGGCCAGGGGTGGATTAGCAGGCACCCATTTGCTGCTTTTGAGGCTGTTGGGAAGCTCGGTCTCAAATCCCAACCCCTGAAGCTCCTGAACCCCCTAACCTCCATACCCAAACCCTGTTGCCCTGCCAGCAGTTCGTAGTAATCAGGGCGTTTGGGCGTTTTAGGGTTTATAACCTTTGGGGCTTTCGGGTTTTGGATTTGGGGGCTAAGGTGTCTGCAGGGGCCGAGGGTTGAGACTACCTGAAGGCACCCAAGAAACCTGCAGTTCTGGGGCTGAGTCTTACCACAACCTAGAAGCAGTACCCGTTTCTGCAGTGTAGGTACTGGGCCCTGTAACCCCTTCAAATCCTGACAAGATCCTAGAAACAAAACATCATGCATCAAGAGCATAAATGGATGAATGTGGGTAGGCGTTCGTGGGCTACAGGCATCATCCTAAGAAGAGTCCTTCCCCCAAACCTAAGCCATAAGTGCCCCCTAAGGGCCCCTCTATAATAGCGGTTCTGTAGGGGCCTTGCTATGAGGGCTTCGGGTTTCGGATGTGGGTTTTATACGGGATTGCTATAAGGGCTTATGATTCAGGGTTTAGGGTTTAGGGTCTACTAAACCCTAAACCCTAAACCCTAAGCCACTGGAGGGACCTGAACCAATAGACTGTCTGCAGCGATGTTTCTAACGAGTCTGCATAGAATGATGTTCAGTTGTGTAGGGTGTCACAAGGTTCTCCGTAGATGCCTTGATGACTAGACTCTGGTTTCCCGGTATCTTCTAGTAACGTTACACCAACATGGGGGTATGATTGAGAACTCTTTGCTCCAAAGGCAACATGTCTAATCAACAACACAGGCTAAACAAACCCTAGAGCCTAACCCGAGACCGCAACTCTAAAAAACCAAGTTTGGGGTGCTTAGGCTTTAATAAGCCCTCAACCCTAAAGCTTAAACCCATTTAATGGACCTTTTACTCTGAATCTTAACCCGTAGACCCTGAGACCTCGAGCACTATTCGTTACTCTGGTCCCTTACCCAGACCACCGGAAGGATCTAAAAAGTAGATCCCCTAATTTGGGACCCTGTACTGCTAAGGGGTATTTTAAAGGAGCCCGATTGGGGGATCTATGTTTTAGATCCTTCCGGTGGTCTGGGTAAATACCTGGCACGGCCTCGACTGTTCGGCCACCGAAGTATCGGCCATCCATGACCTTGCCGGACTCTAGGCGCCTATAGTTCAGGGGTTAGGGGTTTAAGGGTTAAGGGTCTAGGGTTTAGGGTTAGAATTCATAGCGTTTGAAGCAGGGGGTCTAGAATCGGTAATAGTAAGTTTAGCAATCCTCTGGGTTTACACTATACTACAGTAGAATCAGTCGAACACCGAAACCCTAAACCCCCAAAGCCCTAAACTCTAAACCCCCTAAACCCTAAACCCCCTAAACCCTAAACCCATAAACCCGAAACCTTAATTCAGTGCGGATCTGTATACATATATATATATAATATATATATATACATACATATATATATATATACATATATATGTACATATATATATATATAATGATTTAAGGTATATTCCTTAATTAAGGAATATTGGGTTCTCTGGGAAGAAGGCCTTCGCGGAGGGAACGGACAGTTCTGCGAGTAGACGTCCCGACTCGATCACGTGCATCTTTACCCTAAACCCTAAACCCCAAACCCCCATGCCTGAAAGCCGAAATCCAAAGCCTCAACATACACTGCCCTAGCGCCTAAACCCTAACTGCGGACTCCCAGGCCCCAGCCCCAAACTCCCGACGCACCCCAAAAACGGTTTAGGGTTTAGGGTTTATGCTATGCATACACCAAGAGTAACCGTAACTAGTCATAATCGAAATCAGAACTTGAACTGCGAACCCACAATGACCATAATATAGGGACCTGAATAAGTCGAACAGGGTTTTGGGGGTATCTTATACTATCTATAATAGGGAACCCCAAAACCCTATTCTAAGTATTAAGGCCCGACCTTTAATGATCATAATTAAGGAACCATACCGTCAATCAGCAATAACCCTACACCCTACGGTAAACCCTAAACCCTAAACCCAACCATACATACGAACCATACCACACCATGAGCCCCCGGGTCCCCGGGCACGAATGCACTCTTCGGCTTCGCTGGAGAGCTTGAACTTCACGCAGACGATGCCCTTGGGGGTCGGGGGTTTAGGGTTTAGGAGTTTAGGGGTTATTAGGGGTTTAGGGGTATAGGGGTTTAGGCTTTAGGGGTTTAGGGTTTAGGGTTGAGTTTCATTAACGGGTTCCGACAAGGATTAGGATAGGGGAACTCGATAGTCTGATTGTCGGATCTTAGGCGTGCTTTCTTTAGAACTTCTTCATGGAATTTCCTGATTGCTTCTAGGGTGGTTTTAGGTTTTTCTGGGGTTTCTGAGGTTCGTGTAGGGTGTCTTGAAAGGCCCTAAACCCTAAACCTTAAACGAGGTGGAACGGCAGCTTTAGTCGAACTTCTCGACTGCTCCACCTGTTTTAGCGGCGTGGGCACACTGTGATTTGTTTTGCCGCTCCTGAAAAATCTTCAAGTGTCTTCGAAGAGTTTCTCCAAATACGCTATGAGATAAGAGATATGGCCACTTATAGGCCCTCTGCTTTCTGTAAGATACTCTTGATTCCCTTCACGGCACCGTGTAAATACCGGAAAGCCCTGGTGGGAGGCTTCAAAGCACGGATCTCTTGGACCCGCGACTGGTGTGCTCACGATTTTCCGCGTCTTTGCTGACTTCATCTTGGCCTAAACCCGGTTGACCCTGGAACCTAAACCCCTAACCCTGAAACCTAAGCCTAAACCCCCATTTTTTTAGCCTGAGCCGTATAAACTGTAGAACCAGCTAGGAAGGTAACCAAGCAGCTTCTACTCTTTCGCAAGGGCTCTCACTGATATAGGGCTTGGAGGGTTGGATCATGATTTGGGGTTTGGGGCTTAGGGTGTAGGGGCTGTGACTGTGTAATTTAAGGCTGCTGGGCGCACAGACGATACCATACAAACCTCTAGAGATCCTAAACCCTAAACCCTAAACCATAAACCCTGAACCATATGTTGAACCTTTGGGCATTTATCAAACCGGAACCCTAAACCCTAAACCCCGATAGTAGGGTCAGCGCCTGCAGGTGCTGTTCGATGGGTGTGACGCGGAGAACCTGCATGAGCATAGGCTCCATTGGTATAGCGGGCCTTGATAATTGGAACTTTGCTTTCATTGTGTTTTTTTTGGGGTTATAGTTATAGGCATATAGTAAGGAATATATAATGGCAATAATTAATTAGGTATGTACAGTATTTAGGCACGCTTCCATATTGTAGTAATGCTACAAGATAGCAGGTTATGACCCCTGATTATGGGGTATACTCCCTAAAGTGAAGGAGGCGAGCTTTTGCTTTGCCGGCAAGGCTTCGTTTCAAGGTGATCTCATCCGGCAAGTAAACTCGTGGATCAAAGGTGAAAAATACATGTTTAGCTCATTTTAACGTTGTAAAGCCCTAAACCCTAAACCCTGACACCCAAACCAAAGCTGAAAGGAATTTCTTGGGATTTGAATACCACCAAAAGTACCAAAAGGTTAGCAGGTACTTCCTGCACTACTCAGTCATCGGTCTAGCTTACCCATAGGCCCCTAAGTAGATCCTTTTATGGTCTCTATTTTTGAATCCTATAAGGTAATCCCAAAAGGAACTACTCAGGGGCCTATGGGTACACGTCTACTACTAAACCCAAGGCTTAACGTCTCGATTCCTGCTTTGATTACAGGATACGCCGCGTAAGGCGGTCAGGGGTAAGCTATTGGCCTCGTGTTTAGTATAAACAAGGGCTTCACTGCTAGCGTACCCTTTAGGCCCAACAAGAAATCCCTACATTGGTACTTCGATGTTTTGGGGAAGCTTAGGATGAAGAAGGTGGATCCAACCCCAGGTGGGCCCAACAATTCCTGAACCGATAGGGCTGCTAAAACCTATATAAACCCTAAACCCTAAACCCAAAACCTCTAAACCCTATAAACCTTTAAAGCCTAAACCTTTAAACCCTAAACCTTTAAACCCTAAACCCTGAACTCGAAAAAGGCCTGCTGCCTCTACCAGCCCGGCAGCAGTTGCACTGGGCTATGAGGCTTAGGGTTTAGGGTTGAGGGTTTATTAGGGTTTAGGGTTTAGGGTTTATTAGGGTTTAGGGTTGAGGGTTTATTAGGGTGTAGAATATCCGCCAGGAACAGACACGGAAAAAACAAAAACTCGCACAGAGCATTCCTGGCATATGAGTCCTCAGAAGGGTACGTC